AATCAGTTCCGGTCGTCGTGCGCTCGTATCGCGGTTGCGTTGCAGCGTTGCCAAATGTTTGAGAAAATTTAATTATTCACAACTCACTTTCCTCGAAAACGATTGATTTTCGGACATAAGTTATAATCAACTTTTTTTGCTAAGAATAATGCAAGGAATCATCTCTTGAAGTTATGAATATTATTTCCCTAACACCCTGTATAGTCTAGGGTATACATTTAAAAATAGCTCACAAATCTGTAGTCCTGATTCTGCTATGATTTACCCCGACGTTAGTCCCGTACTGTCAACATCCCACGGAAATTACGTCGGAATTCAGCATAACAAATGTCTGAAGGAAATATAAATATCAATACCTATTGCTTTACAAGTATTTGTGAAAATAAAGTCAGGAGGTTTAAGGAAATGCCTTATGCATGCTCAAATTATAAATCTGTAACTGTTACCTAAGATAAAACATTTGACACGAAGTTCTATCAAAATAAGACAGCACAAAGTACCATCTGTCCTGCTTGAGACCAAGCCTACATCATACTGATGAGCTACCAAATAGCACGAAACAGCTGTTTATAGTCGGACATAGGAAAGTTATATTACCAGTTTGAAAAAAAAATCACAAAATCAAAACAGATTCAAGCAATCTAGGGTACACATTTAAAAATAGCTCACAAATCTGTAGTCCCAAATTTTGCTATGATTTACCCCTACATTAGCCCCATACTGTCAACATACCATGGAAATAACGTCGGAATTCAGCATAACAAATGTTTGAAGTAATTATAAATATCAATACCTATTGCTTTACAAGTATTTGTGAAAGTGAAGTCTCTGGGTTTAAGGAAATAGCCTTATGCATCCTAAAATTATAAATCTATCACTGCTACCAAGATAACACATTTGAAACAAAGGTCTATCGAAAAATAAGACAGCACAAAGTACCATCTTGTCCTACCAAAGATCAAGCCTACACCACGCTAATGAGTCAACAAATAGCAGAAAACAGCTGTCTATAGTCGGACGTAGCAAAGCTATATTACCAATTTAAAAAAAATCGTAAAATCAAAACACATTCGAGTATATAGTCTAAGGTACACATTTAAAAATAGCTCACAAATCTGTAGTCCTGATTCTGCTATGATTTACCCCGGCGTTAGTCCTGTACTGTCAACATCCCATAGAAATAATGTCGGAATTCAGCATAACAAATGTCCAAAGTAAATGTATATATCTACAGGTATACCAACTGCTTGCGAAAATGAAATCAGAAGGATTAAGGATATACACACACAGTCTAGTGATATTTGTCTTGTACATACCCAAATTATAAAGCTCATTCATTGCTACCTAAGAACATTTGAAACAATCAAAGAATCACAACTGATTTTGAGTATAATGTATGCACATAAGAATCAGAATGAATTGAGACTTTCTCGCTTAAAAAGAGGGGAAATAAAAACCTCCTTAAGACTTCAAAATAGATGTTTAACTGTAAAGTATTATGCACCAATGTCCTTTAATAAATTACCTAAAACATTTATAACCTCCCTGAACCAATTCATCACTCCTAAATGAATCAATTTTTGATAACAGACTTTACTCTTTAAATGAATTTATGGAGTCCAATACTGTTAGTGTCTTATTTGTATTTAAATCTCATGTGTTTTTGTACTCTAATGTACTTTTATTTAATATGTTGCATGTTATAATTGCAAATTGTTGCTTGAATGCAGAAGTATTCTAAGTAACAAAATGCAAATTTTACAGGAGAGCTATTTGTTGTGTTTGAAGGGAACAGATTACAGGTTTTTCAAATATAGCAGCGCATTTGCAGTAAAAAAACAAGATTTATTAACTAAGAATCAATTGGCAGACTTACCTAACATTTTTGAGAAATTTTGGACATAGAATGCTTTACAGGAAAAAAGTTAGGTGACTATGAGCTACAAGATGGTGTTAAAATCCAAAAAATTAATTTGGACATACAATACTTCTGCATTCAGGTGACAAAATGTTTTGATATAAATGCATTTCTGTATTTGTTGATGCTTGTAATACCAAATATTTGGAAATAAATCGATTGATTGATGGTATCAAGCATGTCAGAAAAATAAAAGTTGTAACATATTCAAATATACTTGCAAATATTAAAACAAAACCAGAAAATATGACACACAAGCATGAATAGGTAAGTTAAGTAAGATCATATAAAAGCTATTTAAAATCATAAGGAGAGAATAAAAACTAACACAACTTGAAAAAGCACACCCTTGGCTTTGGGAGCAATAATTAATAAGCAAATATTGTGTCCATTAAATACTCATTCACAGAGTGGTAGGTCTTCTGTTACAACATAGTTTCCACTCTCTTCTTAAATAATCCAAATGGCAAGGTCTTCCGAGGCCAGTAATTTGTTGAGCAATTTTATGGCCATTTGATTTGGGTTGCTTTAGTGGATGATAGTATGTGTAAGGGAACTTGGAGAACATGTGAGTTTCTGGTTAAATATTTGTTGATGTGGAATTCTGCCAGATTTGTTTTCAGTGAAGTAGAATTCTTGAATATAATAGTTTGAAGTGTTAATATTCCCAGCTCTCTGAAATAGGATATGCATGTAGTTCTAATTCTGCTGTTTTACCTGGAAGTTCATCTTGCATGTGAGTATCCCACAGAAATAGCTCCTGAATTAAGCATAACAGAAGTTAGACAAACAGCCTGTAGTGAATTAATGTCTATTCTATATATCTAAATGAGTAATAAATTGTGATTGAAACACCTACATGTATGTATTTCATTTTAGTATGCTATACTTTGAAATAATTTGTGCAAGTTCTTCAATAGGTACCTTTACACTTACACTCTTTCGCGTGGGGTTTGAACGGCGTTCCAATCGTAAGTGTAAAGGTACCTAAATCACATGAAAAAATGCGTGGCTCTGACATACGGAAAGCAACCAGTGGAGGTATAGTATACCTCCTCTTTGGTCAAAGCTCGAACACGCAAGGGAGTTCAAGATGGCAAAATAACGTGGTTGTTATGATTAAACCTCATATGTAACAATTTTTCCACGTGGAAGCTTTCTGAATATCGATATAGTCAAATATGGGCTCCCTGATCTGATGTACAAAAGTTTCATAATAAGAATCTCTGGTAATTCTGTAGAGATTTACTAAAGATCGGTGTGAATAGAAGCGAAACCAATTTTTTAAATTCGAAAGAGTTTTTATGTAGTTCTGTAAAAACGGCTTCTAAACACAGAACACAGGAGTTTTCGTTTCAGTAACAAAGATGTGCATTTTAGGTAATCAGTACAAATTAATATAAGAACGAGCAACTCCAAAATTCAGCACAAACTGTACTCAAAAAAATACCTATTTACATACCTATGCCCACATGCACAAAATATGCCACATGGAAAACAAAACCTCAAAGAAAATGGAAAAAAGTGAAAAGAAAAATACAGAAAGAACACTGATGAACACAAAACCTTAAAATAAAGAAAACAGGAAGGAAGGGGTGAAGACGTCAACGAGTGAAGCCGACGAATGTGACAGATCACACAACCTGTCACCTGCGTTGCCAGAGCTTCTTTGGTAGATTTCTTGTAGATATATCATTAGAGATGGACATAACATCGATGTTTTATCTACATATTTTTGCGACCATGCACATAATTTTTATGCCAAAGCATATAAATACAATATATTCATTTGAAAACTTCCCAGCACAGATTTATCGAAAAACACTGACTAAAAGAAAAAATGCCGAGACACGTCAAAAGATTTGTCAAGGACCAAAAGCTACTTGTTCACCCTCTCTCTGCCCCCATGGTCATCCCCGTAAAAATTTTAAATGACAAGTTGTATCGAGTAATAGCTTGTTTAGAAGTTCTTTGGAAGTCCTTTATTTTGACGTTTGATTTTTTATAATCGGTCGGTAGGTTTTTAAGAAAATTAGAAAAACCTGTATTAATTCAAACAATTTTGCGTAATGAAGTATTAAGATTTATTCCAAAATGACCCAAAACTTCAACTTGACCGCCTTCATCCAAAACTCTCGATCACGTTTTTTATTTACAACAGATCCAGTTTGAGTAAATTTAGTAACAAGGCCCAAAACATGCGACCTATCCGAAGTTATCTTCCCCGGATGTCTGGGGTTAAACGTGACGGCGGTTTGCCGAGCACATCGATTTTGGGCACCATAAATTAGAATGATTTCCACTCTTCCGGCTAGTGTGTAAACCATTTTGGAAGTGAAATCTGAATCAATAAATTAATTTTCACTATCCCAAGATTGTCTCGAAGGTAACTGACAACAAATTAAATTCTTTCTTTTCCTTAGCAACAAATAACTAAACAGATATAATAGTAAATGAAGTTGGCCCAGGATATCTGCATATGAAAATAATGCGAAAAAAATTCGGGTTGTTGCCACATCTAATCTTTCGAATTGCTGCTTATGTTGGTAGTTTCCGTTTTAAATTATAAACGGGTTGTAAATTTGGCAAACCATAACGGGCAACATTTTGAACGCTTATTGAAATAAAAAGTGATATTTTCGTGTGTTTTTGTTTTCTATCTGAACAAATTAAGATGAATAAAGATTTTTCTAATTTTTTTTAAAACTAATCGACCGATTTTAAAACGTGAAAATAATGGACTTCGAAAGACCTTTCAAACAAGCTGTTACTCGATACCCCTTGTCATTCAAAATTACCAAGAGGATGACCCTGGGAGGCAGAGGGCGAAAGGGGGTGAAGTAGCTTTTGGTTAAAAAGTTGCCCTCCTTGACAAATCTTTTGACGTGTCTCGGCGTTTTTTCTTTTAATCCGTAGTTTTCGCTAAATCCGTGGTGGGAAGTTTCCAAATGAACACCCTGAATATGCAGCGAGGATAGGTTTAGATTAATGTTGCGTCGTTGTTTTTTTCTGTCTGTAATGTCTGACGAGTTCGGATAGCTGTAATATCATCAATCCTACAATGGATTAAAAGAAACCACAATATCGTTTTTGAAATGTCTTTATTTTAAAAACAAAACAATGTTTACATAATCAAAATGTACATAGACAATAACTTAAGTCTCAATCTCGTCTCAACAACGTTCAGTCGCACATCACAATTACAAATAAATACCAAATGTATTTATTCACAGTAGTTATACAAGCTCTCTACAGTACGTTTAAAAAGGAGTGACAGAACATTTCGTCACGTTTTGTAGTTGATGGTCTGAGTGAACATGGAGTATTTTAAAAAATTAAGTTTTATGACTAGTTCAAACCTTATTTGAAGAATATTTTGAACATAGTTTATTTATTAACAGCATGTTATTGACAAATAACAAAGCTTAAAAATGAACTAAGCCTAAAATACTCATCAGGCTTCTGGGTGTTGCAGGGAAAGATTTAAACTTCAATTTAGGCACTTAGCAACCTCAACAAAGATTTTTCCCAATGTTAAGCATAATAAATTGCCATTCCATGGTTTCCAGACTTTAAATACTTGTAACTCGAATATGGTCAACTCTAGAGAAAAGTTGCTAAGGACCTTTTTTTAAGAATAAACCAAAAACACGAAAAATAAATAGAGGACTTTGCACAAAACATAGAAAATGGATCCGAGTCGATTTGCCTAAAAATGCAATATGACCAATTTCTCGCCTTCCCGAACAAAACTTCCGATGGGGTCAAAGCAATCATGTAATAAGTTTCTTAGAAATAGTGTGATGAAGTTAGCCCGACTTGAGAAAATGGTGAATGTGTCGATTGTCGTTCTAAGACCAAATACTCGGAGGATTGTTATTCTAAAAGCAATGTTTCATTAAAAAACTCTTTAGGAGCGCGTTTTCAATTTGATTTCCACAATGATCCTTAAAACGTGTATTCTTGGAAAATGCAAATGAAGTCTGTTGCATCAAACACAAAAATAAATAAATAAAGACCATCGTCTGATTAATAATTTCATGAACTTATATATAATTAATTTGGTTTGTACTTTGGAAAAGGCTGTCGAGGCTGTAGAAACGTCACCGAACGAGTCCATTCAACATCTGTGGTTTCATTTATTGGACGGTGTAAGAATTATAAGTTGCAACAACTTAAACCCATGTTACACTTATGCGCTTTCCCTTACATCTTCCAAATAAATAATCAAAGACAATTGGCCTTCACTTATCGTGGTCATGACACGTCCCAACACCAATCGGAACCAATAAAATGTACGTACAGGCAAGCAGTATTACACCTTACGCCTTTTTGTGGACACTAGCAGGAGTAGGTATTACGTAAAAAATCTATATGGCAAAGTAAATCGGTATAATTACAACTTTTGAAAAAATCAATGAAAATTCATGCAAATAGCTCAAAAAATTATCGAACAACATCAAGCAAAGGTAGGTAAAACGATTTTTTAACTGCTTGGGAAATAACCATAGATTGGTCTCTGAAATGCAATATGACAACTGTTCACTGTTTTTTCACTTGAAAACTTATGGAGGGTAGTCTGATAGATTATTGTAAAACAAAAAAAGTTTTCATGAAATTTTTTCTCAAAAATCTTTAGCAGCTATTTCCACTATTATTTTCATCGCCATCTGCCATATGATGTCTGTGCATAAATATGTGAGGCGTGTCGCAGCAAAAGGGCCTATATCCATTTTTGGTGAAAAGTGAGTAAAAGGCGGTTATGATATCTGTATCGATAGCCGCATCAACTGGTCAAGTATTCATATGTCAAAGGTGTCTTTATCCCATATAAAATTACGATGAAATATAGGGTGTCGCGGCAAAAGGTTCTATATTTACGATCATCAACGCGTCAAACAGGCCTATATCCAACAAGCCAATCAAACCACTAGAATTCTGTCATGCGGCTTCGAGTTTCATTAAGGCCGTGGATTTTACGTTTATTAGAGTTTAGCATCGAAAGGAGATTGTTGTTTGTATTGTAAAGTATAGGATTGTAATAAAACTTCTTTAGTTTGTTGCCTTTGAACGAGAGTATTACCCCATCGGAACCGGGAAAAGCTAGGCGGAGTACTGGATATCCTAGTAAATGGAAAAGGAACGTTGCAAAATCTAAAAGGTAGGTACCTTATCCTTATCATGACAGATATAAAAAGTTGTGTATTTAATTTTTTTTTCGTTTTCAATATTTTGAGAAGTACCTTTTTCACCATTTAATGTCGAGTGCCCTTGCCTTGATACCCGGTAGGCCTTTTGGTCTCCAGACCACGCCTAACAATATTGCATACTTTCTATTGCGAGCTATCAAGTTAATTTTTTGTAGATATGATCCTCCAGGACCACCAGAATATCCTTGTTGCGGCCACCTTAACAAGTCCTTCAAGTGCAGAAAGTTAACAATGAGAGACATCAAAGAATTCCATGAGAATTTTTACTCTACGCGCGCAAAGAACTCCCAAGATGCGTTTATCATTAAACATTTGAAGGCAACAAGTGCAAAAAGACCACGTCCAAAAAAGAAACTTACCTCTACGAAGAAGGTTAGTACAAATTACTACATTAGAGTGTCCGGTACAGAAAAGTTTTGTATACGTGTTTGTCAACAAACCTTCGTCAACGTCCTTCAAGTATCACGTAAGAGAATTCAGAATTTAGCTAGGAAATTTCTGAACACGGGAAGAATGCCGGTTGACAAGGGAGGTGGGGCGAGGCCAAATCCTCTTTATGACAAGAAAAAGGCCGCTATTAAAACATTCATAGAAAAATTAAAATGTTGTGAAAGCCACTATTCTCGAGGTAAGTCCGTGCATCGACGATACTTGCCAGGAAACTTAAGTATAAACAAATTATATCGCATGTACAACAATGAACAGAGTGATGAATCACTGAAATCGAAGAAAACGTTTTTCCAAAAAAATTTTACCACGCAGTACAACATTGGGTTTGGCACGTCTATCACCGATGCCTGCTCTCTGTGTATTGAACTAAAATCTAAAATAAAAAATGAGGCCAGTCCGCAGAATAAAAGTAAAATAATGAGTGAACTTACATTTCACAGAATGCGATACAGTGTTTTTCAGAAAACTTCAAGAAAAAAGAGAAGATCTCTTAACACTGAGTTTTGACTGCCAGAAGAATCTGGTTCTACCTAAGGTTCAGGATCAGACCGCCTACTATAGCAGGCAAATGTATATATACAATTTCTCAATCGTAAAAGGAAGCTCAAAAGACTCTTTAACTCCGGAAAATGTATATTGTTATACATGGATGGAACATGAACATAGAGAGGGTGCTAATGAAATTGCCTCAGCGGTTTTCCATCAATTGTCACTCCTTGACTTGACATCTTACTCAGTCATTAGATTATGCGCCGATGGATGCGGTGGGCAAAACCGCAACTCAGTTATGATTGGGATGCTGAGCTACTTCTTAGCACGAGTCGCACCTCCAAACATTCAGGAAATCCACATGATTTTCCCTATCACTGGACACTCGTTTTTGCCAGCAGATCGTGTGTTTGCTTCCATAGAGAAAAAACTGCGTAAGTTACCAGTAATAATACAACCATCGGAATATGAAACAGTTTTTTCAGAGCATTCCACACTTTTTAAGCTTGGCACTGACTTGAAGGTTTACGACTGGAAAACTTTAGTAGGGACTTACTATAAAAAAACTACATCGTGGCACTTCAAGTTTAACGAAGCAAAGCGTTTCATCCTCACTAAATCCACAACAAAATATATTGGTTAGGGGTGAAGTATCTTACAGCAGTGATTTAACTAATGGCAAATTGGTTGTTAAAAATGGTGTAAAAATAAAATCAATCCTATTGCCTGATGAAATACCAATGGGAGTTGCATTGAAAGCAGCTAAGGTCCAAGATGTTAAAAACCTTTTGAAAAAGCACTTCGGCGAGACCTGGGACACCATGGAAGAATGCTCCTTGTACAAAAATGTGTTGGGAATCACGACCGATGTGACAGCTAGCCATACAGCAGCAACAAACGAAACTGATGAAGACCTCGAAGAAGAAGTTAATGAGTTCTGTGAAGGACATCAACATGAACATCTCGTTGAGCGGGTGTAATACTTATTATATTTTCTCAAAATGCATTGAGTTGATCTTAAAGAATCTTAGTTTTGATTTCTTGTAGACATATGTATTTTTTTAAGGGAAATAAATGTTTGCTTGTTTATTCCATCTATGTGCCGGATCTACCACCATGTAATAAGCTCATTCCTAAAATAAATTCTAAGTTGAAAATTGTCTCAACAATATATATTATGGGGATTACTCCAGGAATAAGTTTATAGCGCGGCGGTAGAATCGTCCATAAGTGTGTTATTGCGTCAAAACAGCCTATATCCTTATACAGCTGGAGCAAAAGTTCCTTTATCCATTTTGTTACGGCAAATGGTTCTATATCCAAACTCTATAGCTAAATTACATCCGCTTTACTCACTCCACGATTATTTTTGTTGCTTGTATTTGTTTTATAACAAAATAGGAACGGTTCAAAACAAAATTATAGCCGTTACAACTTTTAACTTGGAACAGTTTTTCGCCAATTGTGGAAAATTAGTGGAAGGGGATATAGGCCCTTTTGCAGTGAGATGCCTCATGTCATCTGAGAGGCGCTTGCTTGCGGTGTTGCCGGATTGGTCTCCGCATTTAGGGAAAAATATGAAAAGTGGAAAATTTATATTTTAATGAAACAAAATTATGAAGAAGAAGCAAAACACTAAAATAACACAGTAATAAATTAAAAAGAGATTCCTAATAATTATAGAATTGCTTTTTATTTTAATGTTTATCTTTTGTTTTTTATAATTACGTGGAATTGTTTTTTGTTTTACTACTGTTTTTATTTTTTGTTTTTTATAATTATTTAAAATTGCTTTTCATTTTACTGCTGTTTGTTAATTTTTTTTATAATTACATAGACTTGTTTTTTGTTTCACTACTGTTTTCATTTTATGTTTTTTATAATTATTTACAATTGTTTTCTAGTTTACTTCTGTTATTTTTTGTTTTATACTTATCAAGAATCGCTTTTTAATTTGCTACTGTTGTATGTTTCAGTTTTTCGTTTTGTGTTTTATTAATTAATAAATTATGAAAGTTTTCCACTTTTAATATTTTTCCCTAAATGCGGAGCCCAATCCGGTAACACTGCAGGCAAGCGGCTTTCATATATCTTATATGACATATGCACAGGCGTCAACGTCATATGGCAGATGGCGGTGTAAATAATGGCGGAAATAGCTGCTCAAAAATAGTGTTCGCTCTTAAACATTGTTCTTTAAAGTAGCTATCAGCAGCTATCAGTTTTTTTATTTTCAACGATTCCTTTAAATTTGTCCAGCATCTCGGCCAGATGCATTTTCTTTCTCACTAAATTTCTTTTTAGTTTCGGTGTTACACATTATGAAATGATTATTATAAAGATTTGATTTTTTTAAATACTGTACCAAGCTACCAAGTGGTGTAGCTAATAATCTGTGGTACCAAGGCTGTACCACAGAGTATTATACAGAGGCGACACTCTGTCAAAAATCAAGTTCTATCAAAGCCAACTTGAGCCCCATGCGTTTGGTGGGATTCGTGTTGTTGTGATATTTAGGATTCAGGGGTTATAAAAAAATTGCGTTTTATCAATACTATAGATAAATAACTTTCCAAGAAATAATAATCATTCACGGAGGTGTGAAATAAATCACACTGAATTTTTAGATAATTCAAATGGGACTCATTTTCCACATGTGTTGTGCGAGGTCCTTTCTTTGAGAAAATTATTTAATGAAATTTGCACCAGTTTACAGTCCGGCAACATATTGATTCACTTAAAGGAGTATCCAACAAATATGATTATGAAAACCGATGAGTTTGAACATCAGCGCCCGCAAAAGAGGATGTGTGTGTAATTTTGAAGAATTTTAGGATTAGCCCCCGGTCCCCTGGGCAATCTTCAGAAGGTTTTTAAGACAGGTCTACTTTCATAAAAAGTTATCTCTTGCCGATGATCACCCTTCTGTTGAGGAAAATTCCTGCGTGCGCCTATGAGTTTGAAATTTTCGCCTTCTGTAATAATCATAATGCTGTAATCTGATGCACTCAAGGCATGAAATGTCGATTAAAGCGACTTTGGGACCTGGCAAGATGTATGTGTCGAAGTCATATCCTAAAATTCACCATTTCAAAAAATGTTCAAGCATTTCACGAAATGAATCATTATCTATTGGGTAGATCATGATGTGTGTAGATCAGTGATAATAAATTGTTCAACGAAATAGTAAAGCATGTTTGATCAAATCGTAAAATACTTTAATTACCGATAAAGGCGCTGGCAGCGATTTGTCTACATTTCAACACGGCAGTCGTTGTTTTTCGAAATGGACATTCAATAACACATAACACTTACTTTATAAAAGAAAGTTAAATTAGCGACTTTGAAGGTATCTTTGGTAGGCAACCTGATATTCTTATATAGTTAGTACGGAGTGCAACCACAGAGTGACGCTGACGCTGGAGTTTCCCGTCGTTATTTTTGACAGTCCAATGTTCAATGCTTTGAGGTGTATTCGTAATTTTGAAGTGAAAGTTTAATTTTGTCCGTCGCCCGCGTTCTTTTTTTTTAGTTTTGTGTCGGTGATACTGATATCTATTGAGCCTTAAACTGAATATATATTTACAGACTTAATCTTTTTGTAATGGAGGCCTATCGAAAGCGGGGATTTAAGAAGTGCGTGGTACCTGGTTGTACTGATACAAGTGCGAAATCCAGTTTTGGATAATAAAAGTAACAAACAAATTCATAAAAGCCATTTGGTGTGTGACTTACATTTTTCGGAAGGTGATAAAGTGCCTGGAACCAAGAGAGGTCTAAAAAGATCAGCTTTTCCTGCATTACATCTTCCTGAACTTCAAACTTCACGTAAGTAGTAACTTTGTTTACATATAGAAACCAGGTACATGCACTGTGTAATCAGTGAATAACCAGGATTACATGATCGAACATTTTGGTATCCTAAAACTTTCACAATATTTGCGGTTTCCACAATTTTTGGAAAAATTTACCTATCATGAACATAATAAAATTCAATTCTTTTTTTAGGCGTGGTTTCGGAGAATGTTCACGAGTAGACTCGAAACTCATGAAGGGAGTAGAGAAATTGCTAATTGTAAATCTAATGACTGATTATTTATTGTTATTTTATACTAGGAGTACTACATATCTCCTGAACTATCGATGACCTTATCTTATAAAGAGATAACAAGGGACTGCCAGACTGATAAGAGATCAGTGGCGATGCATGTCTGATCACAGATTAGGTGCTGTTCCAGTTTTTTATGCACGCGACGGTACATCGGTAATACCGATTATTTTTACATTATCAACAACTTGCATACCTGTTATTTTTATGTATTGCGTTAAAAAAATACACACTTTAAAAATAAAATCAGGTTGAGCCTTATTTTACATAAACTATTTTGTATATAATTTGAATGTTTAATTCAAATTTAGCTCCACAGCGTAAAAGGGAATTCCGAAGATGGCGCTAGGCTTTTTTAACAGTTCATATAGGTTCTATAAAAAGTTCGGAGTATATCCCAGGGATGGCGCTACAAACCTTAGCATTGCAGATTCACTTATGAAGTAGGTGTTATGTGTTCAATAACTGGTTATCGAATGAGGATGAAAGTGATATTAATAGAATGTAGGACAAAAAGGTACTCGAGTCCTCGAGTATTATGAGGGTCACGCATGTACCGCGCAAAACGTCAAAAAGCCATGGAGTCCGGAACGAAATTCACAGGTTAATACTTCTCTCTTAAATTACATTATTCATTTAGTCAAAATCGTGTGCCAGCTGAAATATTGTTTGTCATTTACTATATATTATTGTACATTTATGTAAAACTTATTTTTATTTCATTTTTATTTGTGATAACTGAAATGTTCAAAAAAATAATTTGTTTTTAATTTCTTACAGTTAGTAGTTTTAATTAAAATGACTTTCTTGAACAATAAACAAGTCCATAACATAAATTCTGGATTTTTAGTAAACATTCTATGGACACCCTACTTTTACGATATGATCAATCGTGGATGACCAAATCGTTAAACGTTGACGATTTAACGATACGGTCAAATTTAGGTGGCCATTTCATGAAATGTTCGCTCGATGGTCAATTCTACGATATGGCCATGACATATGAATGACCTTCAGAAACGTTTTAAACTTGGCAACTCCAATCTTTTCATCTCTCTTCCTTTCTGTCCACGCCTGACACCTGACAAAACAATCAACAAAAATGAGATCCATGTCACATTCTCGATCAATCACTTAAATATTTCCCGTGCACGTGGAATAAAAGAGAAAATTGCTGGGTCCGAAGTTGACGGGAGTTTTTGGACTGGAACAGGTGTAGATGAAGTCGTCGGACTGCAGCTGGGTGCGGTTCATGTTGGGCTCCGAGGCGGATCTGTTGATCTTCGGGTGGTTCCGCAGAAGGCCCTCTAGAGACGCGTGGATCTGCCTGAACAGCGGCCGCTCCTCGCGGTTGAATTTTATGCAGTCTTCGGTCAATCGACGCAGAGCTGAAAGAAAAAAAAAGTAGATTGTCTTTCATTCCACTTCATTTATTTATTCATGTTAGAACTACAAGTGCAATGTACACACGTCACAAAGAGGAAACGTTTGGCACTGTTTAAAATACAACACAATTAAAGTACTGTAAATTAAGTAATGATTTTTTAATTTGTTCAACGAATAAGGAAGCTGAGGAGTCACAGGAATGTTATTACTGGCCAAAAACTCGTTTATTGACATTGCTGTGTGACAAGGAGCATTATCGTGATACAACACCTAGTTGTTCTTGATGTTTGGTCTCACATGAACGGTGATGTGAGTCAAATTTAACTCTTCCACGATCATTCTGTCAGCGGGCGATCTGAACGCACAAGATCCCGGATTCTGTCGATATTTTCATCGGTTCTTGAAAATGAAGGCCTTCCACTTCGTGGTTCATCTTCAATCGACTCTCTCCCTTCTGAAAATACCGTAAATTCCGAAAAACATGGGTTCTTGACAAAGCACTATCTCCGTAGTCCTGCTTTAGTTAAGTAAGAGTTTCCGTTGCCATGTGCTCAAGTCTAAAGCAAAACCTTTGCACGAAATTGATGTCACTCGTTTTTAAAACATAATAGGAAAAACAGGTTCACAATAAAAATCGCTACGGACAACCAAATGACTCGAACGAGTTCAAACTTGTACCGGTGGCAGATCACCTGCTCCGCCGTCTCCCCTCCAAGCCCGGAGCATCCAGTGTAGCCAGATCGAACGCTACGTTGCCAGTCTCATTACTTAATTTACAGACCTTGTATAATGCAATTAAAAAACCGATTGTACACAGTAAAAAATACAATGAAGTTGTTCGAGGGATGTCTTTTAAGTTTTGCATATGGAAATAAAACAACACGGTAGGTAGTTTTAAATGACTTTATTATGTTTCGAAGTTTTTTCCGCGAAGATCAATACTCATCTGCATGCGCTCGAACCAATTTTCGAAGCACTTATTCCACTCGTTTGCTGGCAGATCCAAAACGGCATTTTTGAATGCGTCAAATGCTTCTTCTGGTGACTGGAACCTTTGACCACGCAGTCTGTTTTTAATTTTCGGGAAAGTAAAGAAATCGTTAGGACTTAGATCGGGACTATATGGAGGATGGTCCAATAATTCCACGTTTTCTTCCGTAAAATAGTCTTGTTTTTTGGGCTGTGTGCGAGCTTGCATTGTCTTGGTGGATGATGATTCTTCTTTCGGGGTTGATTTTTAGAAGCTTGGTAATGACTTTTGGCAAACAAATGGTGGTATACCAATCCGCAGTAACAGTTCTTTGCTCATTAAGAGGAATTGTTGCAATATGACCCGCTTTTGACACAAATGTCGCGACCATCGTTTTCGAACCACGGATGAGTTTTGTTGGCTTTTCTTCACCTTGGAACACCCAAACAGCCGACTGTCGTTTATTTTCTGGTTCATAACAGTAAATCCACTATTCACCATCACTAACAATGCTGTACACATTTTTTGAGTTTCCGGAATTGAAACGGTCAAGCGTTTTTTGACACCAGTGAACCATGGCTGCTTTCTGCTCTTCAGTCAAGACGAGAAACGAGAAACTAATTTTCTCACTCCTAATTCTTCATGTAAAATTTTTTGAATTGAGGTCTTTGAGATCTTCAAGGACGCCTCAATATCGCGATATGTCTATCTTCAATGCACAGCATCGACGTTTTCCTGGGTGACTGCCGTTTTTGGTGCACCCATCCTGGGATCGTCGCTAAGACTCACCCGTCCACGTTTGAATTCTCCATACCAACGGGAATTGTCGACTGATCGTTGCCGAAAACAGACAGAAACTTAGCAAGGCATTCTTGTTGCGATAATTGTCTCTGAAAGTTGTAATAAATTATGGAGCGAAAATGTTCTCGGTTGAGTTCCATTTTTCTAATGACTTGGTGACACAAAAATTCACTGTAGTGAGAACACTGCACGTATTGTTGTGAAAGTTTGAATTTAAGTTTACTAAAGAGTGAGCTTAAGATTCAGTACTGACGTTCGATCCGCGCGGCCTACTATGTTTCTATATGCAAAACTTAAAAGACATCCCTCGTACATTAACAAAAATATTTGAAATACTCTTCCTTTTGAGATTCGATTAAGATATGTTTCACTGCCTCCTTGTATCTATTTACAGGTAATTCTTTAATTTCTGTAGGTAATACATCAAAATACTTTGTGACCCAATATCCAAGTCCATGATGATTTTGTTTTCGTTATATCGTATATTATATCTAATCCAACGGAATCCTTTAAAATGACAAAAATAAAAATATCGCATTTTCCTTATACATATTAGAAGCTTACTATATCATTATGAATACCAACCTTTAGGAGTATCTGATCGCAACTTGGTCAGATCCGGCTTCAAGTACCCTCTGCCGACCATGAAGAGTATTTGGTCTTTGTTGTTGATGTGTGAGTAGGGCAGTTGTCCTGCCAGCATTTCGAACATGACTATACCAAAGGCGTACACGTCCGATTGGAAACTGTATGGATTGTCTTCTTGCATTCGAATTACCTTTGGAAAAAATGATATTATTAGTCAAAAGTAAAGAACTTTGTAACAACAAGCATTGATTAACGTGTTTTATAAAAGACGCCCAACTCCATGCTGTGTTTGGACGTTCAAAGAAGCCGCATTATTAAGAGTAAGATTCACACAATCACAAACATTACATTCAGGGTTCTTTGATACTTGAGAAGCACTCAATGGTTATTTTGTGTTTCATAGTGGCTGGGATGCTATAAATCCGTTCTGTTTGTATGACGAACAAGAGTATATACCCCATTCGAAGTCCATTTACGTCTAGATAAAACGCAACATGCCCAAAAGCGAGGTTGCACAGGTCCGTATTTTCCTCAATGGTCTTGGAATAATCTATCAAAATAAATGATTATTTTTATAGAAAGACGTACACATACTTTTCATCGCTGGAAGTACTTGCATCATCGTCCGAATGGTTAATATTAATTATTACAACTTTGAATATCGATCATATTGTCCAGATCCCACGGATGCAATCTTTCCAATGGTTTGCCGTCACTCTGTTGACAGCTTCATAAAACAGCGCTACTGTAATGAGATGTTGTCGATTTTTTGCACGTGTTAGTTTATACTTTTATTATATATTTAATAGAAAGCTCATTTGGCTTCAATACTCCACATAAGATTAAGGTGGATCTCCCCAGTGGTTCTTAAGACACAATGACAATTTTTAACAAGCATATATTTATTCTAATATACATATCTCTTACTACAAATGCAAATAAAATAAACAAATGGATCAATAATAAACACTCTTAAACCATTCTTTTAGCAGTAGACAAAAGATTAACATAACAGACAAAACAAGTAAACTTTGGAGTTCACAGTTTCTTTTTGGTATTTGCTTTCATTGTCCTGTAATATGTGATAAATGTACAAGTGATTCGATTGCTCTAACCATAGAGCGTACTTATGTTTCATATATTCCCACAGCTTCTTCAGTTGCTTAGAATTGCTTTGGATTATTCCCTGGGAGTTGTACAATTTTTTATTTTTTCCTAGGCTTCTTACATGGAGTTTTTTTTATTCGATAATGTCTTTGTGATCCTCAATAGGAAGGTTCGACATTTTTCGTACTTCTCTTATTTTAATTAAAATCGAGGGATGTTGTTATTAAAAAACGGTCAAAGAAATTTGAGTGCAAAATATCAATATTTACGTCGACGGAAAGCATTTTAAAATCAAGGATCGACGCAAGGCTAGAAAACGTACCTGTACGCGAGACTAGACCGCGTGACGTCAGTAGCCAGACACGTGCTGTCGCCCTCATAGAGTACTTGTATCTTGTATTGTCTTGTATACGGAATGAAGAGTATACGAATACGTATTTATATAAACTGGGACCGACGTTTGTGTACTAGCACAATGCTCCAAGGTTATCAGAAAGCTGATTCGCGAAATTTACCACATGTGAATGTGGAATTTTTGATAAATAATGCAAATTTAAATGAACCTCAGACCAGCGGTATCAAAGTAGTTCGGTAAGTACCTGTATGAAGCTAATTTTTTTTGTTTAGCTCCAATGGGTAGTATTTTTTTGTATTTTTCCGCAAAAATTGATCCTGCTTTGCTTTAGTCTATTGAAAGCTAATCATATTAAGACATAATAATGCCTGCTCGTGACAATAATTTTGAAGGCTATTTATCTCTGGGTAAAATATTATGGAATTTAAATTATCATACATACCTTTTTACGCCTATTAAGAGCCCCGAAACTGGTTCTTTTTGCATGCATATTGAGGCTTTATTACACTATTCTGAAGTAAAGTATGGTACCTAATATGTTTTCAATGAGAGAAATTCCAGGGATGTAGAGAGAATCTTATTTTTTAGGGTCTATTTTCTGTAATACTTAAATTAGGGGGGGGGGGGCAGTCACATTATAGAATTTTATAGCTACTAAAATAACAAAGTTTAGGGCTGCATTCGGGGGATGGGCAATGAAGCCAGGTTCTAAACGTTGACTAATATTGCGCTTAGAATGACTACGATCTCGGCAGTAAGCTGGTCAGCTTCGCTGTTACTACCTTCAGTACTGCTTCCACTGGCTTCATACGAATCAGATTCGGATGTTTCTGTTATTGCGGGACTTTCAAGATTTGCCCGTTCACTTTCCACTTGCAAACGTTTTTTTTTTTTGCCGCTCTGAAATCTATTTAGCAAGCGCAGGAATTCTTATTGGCGATACAGCAACATCCATTACTTTCCGTTTTTGATTTGAACTGACTTGCTTCTAAACTGTACCTGTTTGGTTTGACATGCCTTGTCATATACCTGTGACTGAACTTCTATTGTTAAAGGTTCTGCAGTTTATCATGCTCCTCCTCAACTACTTCCACGCCTTCAGGCTCGGACTTTTCGGTTGAGGGTCCCGCCCGGCGTGCCGCCACTTTCTGCAAATATTTGGCAATGTCTTTCTGCCTTGCCCTTTTTCGCTGAACACTCATTTCGTAGAGCGTAGTTGTCTACCCAGTTTACATGCAAATTTATGAGGTGCAATATTAGGATTCATCCGGGCTCGAACGGTACTCATCTTGTATTGTAGATAGTTTTCCATATATTTTTCCAGGTCAAAATGATCTTCGCAGCAGTAGATGGTCGACGAGGAAGAAACTGATTTTACATCCCGTCGAGCTGCGTCAAACCACTTTTAACGTTGTGCGGCAGCTTTTGTGGTGTTGTTCTTGACATACTTGTACATTTTGGCACAAAACACCACTTTCTGTTCGACATTTAACACTGTCAAAGTTCGTAGAATTTAACAGTAATCTATCGTACCAGCTCTAACTACTCCAAACCGATTACTGGGGTGTGAGAATAGTAAATGCAGCGGGCCAGCTAGCGTGGTGTGTCTGGCTACTGACGTCACGCGGTCTAGTCTCGCGCTAAGGTACGTTTTCCAGCCTCGCGCGGATCCTTGACTTTGAAATGCTTTTAGTCGACGTAAATATCAATATTTTTGCTCATTTTTTTTTATCGTTTTTTAATAACAAAATCTCTCGATTTGAGTAAAGATTAAAAAATTGCGAACCTTCCTATTAGAGGGTAAAAATATGATTTTTATATTATTTAACCGAATGTCTAAAAATAACAAAATGTTTCCTGTTTCTTTCGCCGTTTTCCAATCTAGGTCTTGCAACCACTATGTCATAATTTGGAGCCATTTCTACAATGAATGTCACCCACTGCGTCTTTTCCGGATAGACGTCAGTAAATCCCCTACCCACTCTGGACAGTCCCTAATTCACGGCGGGCAGAGATGCACCACATATTCTGCGTTTGTACCGAAGAAGTCGGTGAATTCCCGGTTTACTCGAGAAAGTCCCAGCGAAGATGGCGCTCGGCACGATTGACAAATACAATAGAGGTACTCTCAATAGAAAAAATAAGACAGAGCGTTTATTTTTATTGTTTTTTGTCCGGTTAGGAGAATGTCCGTCCAAGAGAGAGTTAATACAATGCAAATTATATGAGAGTCCGTCGGTACTATGAGAAACTGCCCGCTTGAAGGAGGTGCACGTGTAAGAAAGGTGTCCGCGAAAAGGAATTTCACTGTATTGATGTCTAATACATTATAATATTTAGCGGTGTTACGAGTATATGAGTAAGAGCGCTGAGACATGGCTGTGCGATGCGTTGGTATGGATAATGTGCTCGTGTACCTTAAATTTAAATCATGAATACTTGCTCTAAATGTTAGCTTGTTCCATAAACGTAGTGGTGAATGAGTAAATATAATAAATTTTACAAACTACAATATTAATGCTGAGCCAGCATAAATCTTTGGGCCAGTTAAATGATCATATTTCCTAAGTTTGTTTATTAATAGGCAACAAGAATTTTGAATTTTCTGTAGTATGTAGACGACATTTGATCTAGGCAATGATAATATGTTATGATTCCATACGAAATTTTCGAAATAATTAATGATTCACATTGTCGCTTTTTTGTTTAAAAACTGAGGAAGTGTCTCTTGGTATATAACATTTTCAGGCTAAAACGTGGGGGCCCAAATTTTTTCATACATCATTGAATTTTAAACCTGTGCTGCATATGTTCAGGTCGCGGCTTCTTGCTTGCAATAAAGTACATTTGATTTTTCAGGATTGAGTTTCATATTAATAGAAGTGTAGTTATTAATACTTTTGAGAGCAATATTAATTTCAGCCTTTGCCGTTTTAAAATCATCAGGGGGTAAGCTTAACAATAATTGAGTATCATATCAGCATAACAAGTTAAACTCGGGTTTTGAATTTTGGCGACCAAATCGAATGAATATATTAAGAACAAGAAATGTGGCTGAAGAACCGATCGATCGAGCGCGATCGAAAACGTTATAAAGGCAGCAGTGCACAAAATTTGTCATTTCAACGTACAACCACGTCTTTTGGCTTTAAATGTGCGTAAATCAATGCGGTTTTCATGCAGTATCGTTTATTTTATGTGTTTTTATGTGTCATTGAAGCCTAGCCCCCCTTGCCCAAAAACATCCCCAAAGTTGTGAGTAACGCGAAAAAGTTATTATTTCGCGAAAATTATAATGAAAAAATGCGGTTTTTGCGTTAATCGCATAAGACAAACATACCTCAAGTGTCCTTGAGTGGACATGGCATTAACTCGTGGTTTACCTCCAAAAAAATATATAGATATAAAAAATTACTATGTTGAATCAGATCGGAAACCCGTAATTGTTGAAAATCACCTTACGCCCAAAATTTTTTCGCGGATATCTGGTCAACTTAACGTGTTCTAACAGCCCATGGTAGTCGTTTGCTCGAGCGGGGTCCGGAACATACTTTTTCAGGGTTAGGGTGGGTTTACATGCCGTTCGCGCTAAAAAAATTATATTTCAAAAAAATTGGCTTACGCCCAACATTTTTTTGTGCGAATCGTGTTTATATAACATGTTCTAACATCCCACCAAGCCGTTTCCCCCAGGGGGGTCCGGAACACCCCGATCCGCACTTCGATCA